TGGGTGCGGGCAGTGGGTATGGGCAGGTGCAGCCGGGAGCGCTGCTCGCCATGGCTCTGTAACAGGGTGATCCCAGCTGCACGGCCGTAGAGCCGCTGCCCAGTGGTCGCACTTTGCTCCCACGCCTTGCTTTTGGAGCTGGGAGGTGGCTCGGAGCCGGGGAAACGTGGCTGGGGACACTGTAGGAGTAGGAGTGAGAGCCCTTGTAAAGGGTCAGCCCTGGCCGTGGCTCGGTTCCTGACCGAAGCGAGCGCCTGTTCCCCGCAGCTGCCCTCGGCGCTGGGCCTGGCGGGTCACCCTGCCCGGGCCGGGCATCGCCCAGCAGCCACAGGGAATGCTTCCAGAAACACGTCCCAGTTTAAATGAAGAGTACTGGAAAATGGTTTTCTGCCGTACCCGCTGAGGGATGCCAGCATCTCACAGAAACACGGCTATCGCCACGGTCGCAGTGCCATCGCTACATCCTGACAGGGCTAAGGCAACCCTTCCATGCTGACTAGGTATGTCCAGTGAAGGAATTTATGTATTTGCTGTCAACTTTTTTTTTTTTGTGATCAAAAGTTAGAACTTGATTAATCTCTCTAGAAGAGGCATGGTGTACCTTGTGGTTAATAGGAGCATTTAAGGAGCATTTAAGGCAATACGAAAAAAAAATTACATATATATATATATACACATACATATTCATTTTTTTATTATTTAAAATGTTCCTAGGCTTATATACCAGAAACAGTGTAATACTCTGACGTTTTGTTGGTTCTTTCAGTTCTGAGGACTTGCAGGCTTGAATCAATTTGTACATTTGAATGAGATTCAAATTAAGCTGCCACAAGTTTGCCAAAATCAGTAAAACCTGTGATCCTTTGAAATTTTGAGGAGACTTCTTTTTTTAATTGAGTAGATCAACTTTGAAAGGACTAAAAAGCAGATGAAAAGGTGGTTATGTCAATTTAATGAAAAAATTTAATGAAAATTATGCCCACATGCCATCATCGATGCTGTGATTGTAATTCAGGTGCGTGTATCATTGAAGACCTCCTTTAGACAACTGATGGGGTTTTTTGTGGGGTTTTTTTGGTTATACTATTTTTTTTTAAACTGCAATTGATAAAAATATTTCCTTTCAGGGTGAAACTTCATGGACGTGGCTTCACATACCTGAATTTTTTTTTCCTCTTTGGAAAATCTGGGCAAAGATAATTAGAGCTGAAGTCTGTTGTGAATGATAAAGCTCCACAGGTCGATTGAGTGCTCAAGATGTGGACAGAATGGCTGGGGAAAGGGAGAAATTTAGCTGTTTATCATGGCAGAATGTGGTAGGAAAAACATTTGCAATTGGTTCTGCAGTTGTGTGTATGTTATTTTCATCCTTATTTATGTGAATACATGCACAGAGAAGAGCCTGATTTTACTACTGTGTCTACCTTCCATGGAAATGGAAATTTTCTATTGTGAAAAGTGAGAGATGAGGGAGTCTCCTCAAAGTTGTGTGTATGGTTTTACACAAGGCTGTATATATGTTTGCAAGTCTTCTATGGTGACAAAAGGGCAAATTATAAATTTAAATAGATAGAAAGAACATTGTAATTCTAGAAAAGCAGGATCCTGGAAGACTTTCTCTCAGGATGTGGTAAAATACTACTTCTGTATCTGCTAAATCTACTGATGGGGCAAGAAATTTCTTGAGAGAGCTCTTGTGAGACAGACCACTAGAGCAAATGTTTTAAGAACAGAGTTTGTGAAAAAGCTGTGATTTAGAGAAGTCATTAAGAAAATACCTGCTCATAAGTGGAGTGTATTCTATCCTGTTTTATCTTTAAATTATATCTGTTACCATATTTTCCTCTTCTTTAAAATTAAAAAATATGAATTTTTAAGAGTGAATAATGGAAAAAGTTGTTGGTTTTGTACAAAGACATAACCTACCTCCTGAGATTTTAATGTTTTGTGTATTTCTGTGGTCAGGATTATTTCAAGGACTCATCCCATCTTAGAGCTAGGCAAGAAAAGACCTGCCTGGTAATTTGAGTGGAGATTTGCAAGGAGGGAGGAGGAAAGAGAAAGGGAAGAAGGGAAGCAAGCACTGCAAGAAGCAGTGTGGATGACTCAATGCATGGCACACTTCTGAGTCAGTCTGGTAAAGTAAGCCACAGCAGGCGGAAGTGTCATCTTTGGCTCTTGCAGAAAATCCTGATCAGCTAAATGTTTGTCAGTAGTACTCAGTAGGACTCAAAGAACAAAGATGTGGTTAGAAATCATTTGGAAAAGAATCCAGAAAAACCCAGTAATTGTTTATAAATCCATAGTGTGCTCATGTTTTGAAGACAATATGCAAGTTCTGTCCTGTCCTCAAGTTGTAGCAAATCTGGATGCAGTGCAGAAGTGGGTGGCAAAAAAAGTCAGAATTATGAAATCAGATTCCATCTAAGGGAGAGTTACAGAATCTACTACTGTAGCTTAGGAAAGCAAGAAGTGGGAAGGTGTGTGCTAGAGATGTAAAAAACCCCAACTGCTTGACAAGCTGAAATAGGAGATGTTCACTCTTTTTTTTTTTTTTCTGGTGTAATAATTTGGAGCTGCCAGATAAAACAAACAGGTAACAGGCTCAAAACAAGTCAAAGACCATTCCTGTATTTCATGTGTCCTCTTTAAACTGTGTAATTCCTATATTAATTGTCTAATGCAAAAGTTGACTTTAAATTATGGAAGTTCATATTGGAAACCGCTAATTGAACATCTTTTTTCCATTTTGCAGGGGAACATGACATCAAAAACACTGTTTTCATGTAACATTGCAACAGCATTTCTGTCTTTAATTGTTGCAAGTAAGTCTGTTGGTGGCTATGGAAAGTCTTGGTCTGAACTTTTTATGGAACTTTTTTTTTTTCACACAAGTAATACTAACTTTCTGTGGAAATGGCTGTAATAGTGAAATTTACATGCATGCCAATGCATTCTTTTAAACAGTCCCAAGAGCAGGAGCCTATAAAACATAATGGTGTTTCATGTTCCAACATAACAGAATAATTTAGTTAGAAAGAAGCTCTTGACATCTAACAGGGTCAAGATTTTGAAAACTTCTGCAAATGAAAACTCCACAACTTCTTCTCATGGTATTTCATGCAGAACATAAGAGGAAAGAAAGGGATTGAAATCAGAATAGTATTGTATTTGTTGTGTTCTCCTCTGTTCTGCACATTTGCCACTGATAGTTATCAGAGACAGGATTTTGGACTAAACAGACGCTTGCATGACTCTCTGTGCCAATTCTTATAAAATAACAAAGCAAGGAAGTTTTAATAAATATATTACAGTCTTGGGAACATGACCATGGTATCCAGAGTTGGTGCCTTTTTTGTCATATTGTAAAAAATAAAAAAAGCACAAGCCAAACTCTTGCTGTTGCTCTTTTCCTGCATGAGTCTGTGTCAGAAGTAAAGAAAATTATCTCATTGGTAATTGTAGTGATTCCTCTCTAAATGTTCGTAAAATTAAGGGTCAGTTGAAATTCCCATAGCAAACTTAATATTTGTACAACACGGTCTTTAACTACTGTGTCCTTTTAGGACATTTAAATATCAAAAGCATAGTCTGTCTTTAAGGATTACTTTGACTACAGTTAAGTGAAGTTATAAAATAAAGGCATTAAATGTGAAATTTGTGTGCATAATGTGTGTTTGTGTACATGACCGTGAAACAGACTGGAGAAACACAAGTACTTTAGTGATTTGTATCTGAAATAAAACATGCAAATGACAACTCTGTTACAAAGACATTCTACTGAGTGTAAATATTGCCTTCAAAAAACAGCATTTCATTTTAGTAGCATAACTATAGCTGTAAACTACTGAGTAGTACTCTTAGCTGTAATTATAAGAGATTAAAATTGCATTTTCAGTAGTTGACTTGAGAATGGAAGTGAAATCTCCAATGAACTTTATAATTAGAAAATGAGTTCAGTATATTTTTGTAGTGTGTTTGAGTTTTTCTTTAATGTTTATCTCTTTCCTTTAGAAAAATGTGAAGCTTATGATGTGATGTTGAAGCAAATTCTTGTGCCTGATGGGCAGCCTCTTGCTATTAAATGTTCACTGGAAAAGAGCTTGAAAAGTGGAGACTACAACTTAACGTGGTATAAAGTTGGTAACCAAAGAGCTGTGCCTAGAGACAAACTCTCTAGAGTTCATCAGCAGAAGAATCTAATTTGGTTTCTTCCTGCAATGTTAGAAGATTCTGGAGATTATGAATGTGTCATAAGGTGAAAGTTAAAAAAAACCTATATTTTTACAGAAATGAGTTGCAAAGCGATTAACTTTTAAAAAGCCAGTAAAATTTTGAGGGTAAGAGGAATACTAATGAAGAAGAGAGAATGCATCTACAAAAACTAACTTTAGTTTGGGAAAATTAAGTCTAATTTTGGGATTTTTTTCTGTGTAGGCAAAGGTAAATTCATTAAAGAAACTGTAAACATTTTTTCTTCTCTTTCTTCTTCAAAAAGAATGCCATACGTTTTCTGACCTGCAAAATATGCTAAATAGGTTAATTTGTGTTCTATTAATTGCAGGAATTTGACAAGCTGCAAGAAAATGTGTACAAAAGTAACAGTTTTTGAGAGGATTGATGGTTTGTGCTTAAATGAAAAATTTGCTGTGGAGGAGGTGATATTCACATCATCTTCTGCAAAGGTTGTGTGTCCCCACTTGGATTATTTCAGGAAAGAGAAGAATATGCAGCCTGTTCGTTGGTATAAGGTGAGACTATAGTGTTTTGTTCTGTCTTATAGCTGTCCATTATTTATAATAAAAATCAATGACCTTTGGATAATTAGAGCAGAAGAACTAAAGATTTACTGTAAATTGGAGAAAAATGCTTTTAAAACAAATTGGAAGAGGATTAAGACTTTCTGTTTTTTAAAGGTGTTCTTGGTTATCAGGGCAGAATTTCAGCTGAGGTGTAGGAGTGATGCTGACCCAAGTTCCCACCAGGTGGCATCTGTTCACCTGCCAGGGGAACACGGCCTTGTGTGGAAACAGATTTACTGTGGCATAATCCATTAAGTGTTCAATACTCTTCCATTCCATTATTCTACTTCTTGTTGTTCATGCTCTTTTAAAGGCTCTTTTTATTACAATAATGTAATCTGCCTTCTGCCTCAGGCTCATGAGATAATTTTTTTAAAAAATAAAAATCTAATTAAAAAATAAAATCTAATTATTGGGTGGTGCTTCATTGATTAATACTTTTGCAAATACTGACAACTCACATTTTAATTTCTTATTTCTCTAATATCAAAGTTGTTTTCCAAAGGGAATGAACTTTAAATCAAAATCTCAGTAGATGTGAAGCCTGTGTTTCTTTATATTCTGCCGTCCTAACTCTTCCTCAGCCTCTGCAGGGTGTCCATCCTTGTGCTGCGGTCCATTGAAACTTCAGATTGTATCAAAGAGAGACAAACCATGGAAATATACAGAGATGTGAATTAACAGAATTCTCTACACAATTTTAGGACTGCCAGCTGCTGAAAGGAAAAAGGTTTGCCATTTCAAACAGTGACCTTATAATTTTCAATGTGACTGTACATGATGGAGGAAACTATACATGTGAAACAACATATACCTACAATGGGAAACAATATAACATTTCACGAGACATCAGTCTGGTTGTAGAAGGTAAGTAAATAATTTCACTGTGTTTGTGTTCATAACTGAAGTGGAAAGACTTAATTTGTGGATGGATATGCTTAGGACTACTGTTTTTCACCTAAATGTGCAGTAATGACTACCTGAGATATGGTACTTTTTTGAGTGATATTTTGTTATAAAATGGCTGACAACCTTGTCTTTAGTACAAGGGGTGTTTTTAGGTTGTACTTGCATTATAGAGCATAAAACAGACTGCAACTGCCCCTGGTTTTCTGAAAAGCACTTTCTTTTGCTTAGTGACTCCACCAAAAAAGCCTCCAGAAATAACCTACCCAAGAAACAACTCCATTGAAGTGGAACTTGGTAAGTAGTTTTCTCTAGAGAAAATATGAATTTATATCCTAGTTAAAATGTATTCTCAAGGAGTATCCTATTCTGTGCTGTCTTGTTTTTATTTTATGAAAAAGCTACTTCAGTGGTCAGTTTCTCTCTGTTGATTTCCCAAAAGAAGAATGAGGGATGAGAGGGAAAGAAATGAGGCACGTTGCTTGCAAAGTCCTAAAGAAATTTCTCAGATGCAAGGAAAATTGTAGGAACCCAAGTGATTATCTGTCACATCTGTTGCTTTCCATCACTCTGGAAGTGATTCTAAGAACAGGTCCATCTCGAATCTGCAGGCAAAGTGATGCCCCAAGGGGAGCATCTTCTTCCTGGATTCAGCTTCTTCCATCCTACCATTCTCTTTCTGGACCTGCAGATTAATGAAAATATAGATCCTCTGTTAGAGTAACTTTTTTGAAAGGATTTAGTATCATCCTTAGCTGGTGTGCGAATGTGAATCTGTGAACAGGATTGTATAGATTTTAATTAGGTTATGGAGATTAATTCTTTACTTTGTAACACAATTTTATAGGCTCACAGGTTACTGTGGATTGCAACACCACAGGTGCTGATGGGTATGAGGTGTACTGGACAGGCAACGGTATTGATGTATTTTACATGAGCAGAATTTTTGCACGTCCCTATGAGTAAGTATATTTTCAGATTAGAAAATACCATGTTGGCAACCAAAGTGGAACTTTCTCCCTTTGTTATTAAAATATTTAGCAACATTTTTCTCTTGCTTTAAATAGCATTCTTCTTAAAAACTCTAATGCTTACCTTCTCAACTGACTTTCTGCTTTGAAATAGAAACTTTAAACATAGTAGGAACATGAGCTTCACGTGTGATTGTGCGTTTCTTGCTCATTTTGAAAAATCATTCTGAATTTGCAATGTTGGGAAAAGGTGTTTTGTTACAGTCCCATAATTGTAATACAGTTTCTTTTGAGCAAGCTCTTGCCTGGCAGAGACCTCTTTTGGTTGAATCAGGCATATTCAAGTGCCTGATTCATGATTTTCAGACTTCATCTTTCTTTTGTGTTCCACATCTGCCTCCCTGAAAGATTGCAAGAGCACAAATCTGTGCTATACATGAAAAATTGAGATTTCTAGATTAAAGGGCATTAAGTTAGACAAGTTTAACTGAGATCAGCTGAAGAGCTATTGGAAGACTTTTTTGAGGGCATTTGTACTGAAGCTTAGGGGTTAGAGGAGAAAAGGGAGACAGATTTTCAGCGATGAGCTGGGTCTTGGGAGGCCTTGGGCTGAGTAAAGCATGTGAAGGTCAATTGGGAGATAAGGTGATGGTGAAAAGCAGGTCAAATGGAATTAGAGGAAGATAAATTATACCTGACTGGAAAAAATAACTTAAACTGGATCAAGAAGCAATCTGAAATTGTCTTAGACATTACAGATTTTGAACTAAAAATTTCATTTTTTTTTGTCAGCCCTTATGATGGCACTGTAAATAAAAAAATGTGATAATTTTTGTAAATTCTGGAGCACTATCTAGGACCAAAAAACCAGTGAAGAAAAGAGAATGATGTCTGCAAAGTAAGAATAGAGTTGCAAGAAATAAGTTTTCATCATAAAACAAAGGGAGAAATAAAATTATGACTTATTTGGGTGCACAACAAGAGAAAACACTACGCAAAAATAACATATTAGACTGTCATAAAGAATTGTAGTGCCATAAAAAGTTGGGCCATAATGCAGAGATACATGGTCACGGAATTGGTATTGCAAAAGCAATGTTATTTTTTGTACTTCATAGCACCTACACGGTCACCTTTGGTCACTTGCATTAGTGATGTTGGTTCATTCATCTCCTGAATGCCATATCCTATTGTGAAATATCTATGTCCATCTTCTCTCACAGGGATTGGGAAGCCCATAAAAAGAGTTTATTTAGGTTCATAAGGCATATTTTTGAACTTCCAACTATAGAAACCTTATGTTCCTTTGGGGAGACATAGCTGCAGATAAGATAAAGTTGCGATGTCTTGATGCTTTCCGATGTATATGCTAAATGTCAGCAGGAGGAGAGGTCTGGCTGTTAGGGTTTCTTTCATATTATGTAATTGTTCATCTGTTGTGAAGTGTGGTTGACATTTGCAGAAGGAAATAACCACTGTTGTGGTGCAGATGTTAGAGATTCAGCCATTCCTGAATGGGCTGTGGTTTTATGGTTCTATTTGTCACCTTTTGGACAGGGGAGAAACTTCTCACGATGGGCGCCCTATGCATTCTGTGAAGCTAATAATTTCAGAAGTAAGCAGTGAAGATTATGAACAGCCTTTTGTCTGTCAAGCTTCAAATGCCTTTGGGCAAGTTGCATCCTATATTATATTAAAACACAGAGGTAAAAAGTACTATTATTTTGAGGCCTGTGATTATCTATACTTCCCCAAAGGTGTTTTGATACCAAATTCTTGTGTATCATGTTGAAAGAAAACAGATGTATTACAGTTTGCAGTATTCATGTGCCTGTGCATAGTGAAGAAATCACTATAGCATTGCATTGATCATTATTTAAAAAACAAGGAATGAAACGTGTAATATTCAAACTTGTATTGAATTTATGTAAAAGATCAGATTTGACAAATTCAACATTTAAAACTAATTTCTTATATTTTTGTGCAGTTCCTGACATACGAAGATGGCTGACTGGAGGGCTTGTCTCTTTGTTAATTTTAACATTTATTACTTTAATAATCTACAAGATTTTCAAGATTGATTTGGTGCTTTGGTACCGTAATTCTGTCTGTGCCCTTACAAGTGAGGAAGGTATGTGAGTGTGACCAGGTATGTAAGTGTAGTTACCCTATTGATTTTTTTCTCTTGCCTTTACTTCTGAGAAACAATGGGATTATTTAGTACAATGTATGTAGAACTTCCATAAGGAATTTTCAAATATGCACAAAGACATTTTATGCAGGATTTTTTTCAGTCATATGGGTAAAATATAGGCTTGAAGTAATAAAAATTGTGTAATATTGAAGGCAGCCAGTGAGATAGGTCAAAAGAACCATAGGTTATTCCAAAATGAGCATGTTCCAAAATGAGCAAGTTTATTGCTTTTCTGTAGTTTCTTTACATGTGGATTTAGGGTCACTCTGATGATGAACAATAGGTGTCAGCAGAGCTACATCCTGTGAATTGGATGTTTTAAAAACGTGCTTTAAATATTTATTTTGAAAATCGGACTAATTTGTCAGAAATTAATTTGGTTGGATTTTTTTTTTTTTTTGATTTTTCAATTTCTCTCTGTTACCCTTGCTTTCCTTCTAAATCCTGTCAGTTATGATGTTGACATATCAAAGAGAAAATTTTCTGCTAGTTCTGTGTTCTGGGATACTTCTAATGTGTTTTAGTTTAATGCATTGTAGGCAAATATATTGGATAAGTATGAAAAATTTGAAATGAGCACATCATAGATATATTTCATGTCAGTTCTCAGACTGTCTGAAGTTCCCCATGGCTTGATAGTGAATGGATTACATACATTAAGATAGTTAATATTTACTTATGGCTGTGCTAAATGTTTTCACGGGAAAATAATTTCAACTCCTGGTCAAAAATTCAGATTTACTATAATACTGTAGTAGAGTCCTAATTAAAAGAAAAAAAAATAAAATTTTTTAGCTTGAGTTTGATCTGATTTTGGCTTGGTTCTTTCAGTCCAGCTTGCTACACAGCCTTACATCTCAAAACCTCAGAAGCCTTCTGGCCTTTTACCTGAGAAGAGCCCTCCCGGGATTGTTACAAGAAAGAATTGCCATTTTTCCACCTTCTCTTGTGATTAGTTAGAAGTGGAGATAACTGCTGTTAAGTTTCTTTCAGGAGAGGTGGTGAAGAAAGTCCTGTGAGAGGGTAATTCCTCAATGTCCTGGCACCTCTATGAATGGGAGCTGCATCCAGCTCATTTGGTGACTTCTTCATCCCCAGGATGGAAAAGGAAGTCAGATTCTGTGGCTGGTCATCTTTATTTTGATTCATAGAGCATTTTGTTTCTGTGAGGTGATTCTGTAAGATGGGTGAAATCAGCCCTCCATTACTACTTCTAAACAGTCCAAAAATGAAATGCAATAAAGGCATTTTCCTAAGTTTTAGGTTTTTAACAGAAATGTTTGTGTTTGTTTTAGATGGGAAAATCTATGATGCATATGTCCTGTACACAAAAAGCAGTGAAGGCAGAAGTATATGTTGTCTGGAAACCTTTGTTCGTAGGATACTCCCAGATGTTTTAGAAAAACAATGTGGATATAACCTTTTCATATTAGGAAGGGATGATTTACCAGGAGAAGGTATGCTTTAATTAACAGAGGTAACAGGTTGCCTTTTGAAACATTGTTTTCAGGTTATAAGTTTATCTATGTAATTAAAACCTACATTTTGAGAGAAGAAAGCTATATTTATTTAGTTTTAATGAATAATTTGTCCGATGAAAATATTTTCTTTTTTTTTTTTTCTTCTGACTGAAAATTCTCTTCTGATGTTATGAGGGTCTATGCTTTCTTAGTGATGAACAAATGAAAAAAATGAGGACTTAATAATTAATACTAACAGCATTAATAATACTTTTGAGTTTTTTTGAATGATAAATTCTCCTGAGGGCTAAAGAAAACAATTTTTTGAGAAGTTATGTCATACAATGGATCATGAATCATGATTGGCAGTGTGAACATCTTAAAGCAACCACTGCTCTGAGCTAGCCACAACTTCACATGTTTGCAATTTTAAAATAAAGAACTATTTTACACCAGTTGTAAAGTTTCTATGCAGACTTTGATTGTTTCTTCATCACTTACAGCTGTGGTCAGTGTTGCTGATGAAACCCTTAAGCAAAGCAGAAGACTGATGATTATTTTGGGATCAGAAACACCTAGATGCTGCCTGTTGGAAGACACCTCTGAGCAACAACTAGCTATGTATAATGCTCTCATCCGTGATGGGATTCAAGTGATTCTTATAGAAATAGGTGAAATACAGGACTACACAAGCATGCCAGAATCAATCAGATACATTAAGCAAAAACATGGAGCTGTTCAATGGAAAGGGGACTTCTCAGAGAAATCTTGTTCAGCAAACACAAGATTCTGGAAGAATGTGCGCTACCAAATGCCATCCAGGAAAAAGGGATCTTATTCTGAAATGCATTTGTTGCCCCTAACGTCGAACAGTTCTGCAGCAAAGGAAAGTTAAGAAGCACTTATTTAAGTGATATTAAGAAGGTAATTCTGAATTGGGATGTTTCTTGCATATTCTTTATACTACAAAGTAGATGTTTTGTTTGAGGAGTAGAAACTGCTCATTCCTTCAATAAACTGCACCCTAAAAGAAAAAACTCTGTGCAACTTTATTTCTGTTCAGGTTTTGGATAGTGACACAATTTGTTGTGTTAGTCTCCATCAAATATTATAAGTAAACATGATGATGATGATGATATGCTATTAATTAGCTGTGGTCCACATAAATGCTGTATGAAGAAACAGCTATGAAGTCCATTTTTTAAAAATCAAAACTGCAGTTGATAAATTAAAAGTCTGTTTCTGTCATCAGCATTTTCCTAGTCATTCTGTTCCAATTCTTGTCTCTCCATGACTGTCTGATTTCCTTATTGCTGCAAGAATCTGCTCTGTGCAAGCTTTGTCTGCTGGGCAACAGACCTTACCTTGCTTCTTGAAAGGGTTGGGGAAATACATGACATAGCAGGTATATTGAAAACTCATCACAACACTAAATGTGTTTCTGCTGAACAGTTGGTGCTAAATGTGTTCAGCAAATGGAAGGGAATGAAATATGTGGATTTTTAGAATGTTGAACAATTCTGTGATATCTGGTGTATGTCTACTTTTTAAACATAGTCTCTAATTCTTAGGAAACTGAAAATAGTTTGTGTTTCTTGAGAACAGGAAACTTTTTAGGCTGTGCTGCTACTCTGGAAACCAGATGTTCTCATACTGTGTCTCAGCTGTGCTAACTGCATGCACAGAAATTCACTGAAAATCTATCAAAGAACTGTGCTTGGGCTGGGTACCCTGCAGAGTGGAAAGTGGCCAGTTCTGAAACATGACCAAATTCCAATGGCAAGAAATGGTATCTCAACTACTTGTGAAAGAAGAAGTTAGAAGCATGTGGCTATATCAAGCTGCTTGAGAGTAGCTTGGTATTTCTGGATCCCAATCCACTTTTGGTGTGCATCACTGTGAGAAAATGGCATACCACTTCCTTTTCAAGGTGGTCTGAAGCAGCAGGAGTTTTCAGGCTCCAGCCTTGAAGAACATAATCTAAATGCAAATATGAATTTTGCTTGCTTTTTAAAAATTATTTTCTGAAGTTATGTAGGCTCTAACATCATGTTTATTGCCAGGATAGCATCTGTTGTGGAATTTCTTTCAGTTGGTTCTCAGAGGTATGTCTATCTAGAATATATTCTTTATGGGCTGTATTGATGGGAGAGAAAGCAAAATCTAGGAGTGGAAATATATAATCAAAGGGAAAGATTTCCAATAGCATTTCATAGTACTTTTTTTCTTTGTAAAGGTGTAGTAAATACTCCTTAGGAGCAGTGTCTCATTCTCCTGGCTGTGGGGTTCACAACTGCGTAGTTTTCCACAGCCTTCACTGACTAGAGACTTGTTCTGAGGTGCCACCAGGAAAACTGGGAACAGGGTAGATTCATCAGATGAGGCATTATTGTCCTACTAGATGTTGAATCCATGTTCTTTGGAAAGGCATAATATTTAGGTTGGAACCTTTAGAAAAATAAATTTAGGGACTTGGAGAAATCAGATAATCATAACTGTCAATTTTTTACATTGTGTTTAGATGTAGCTTGCTCAATAAAGTATTCAAAATAAGTTTATTTCCTTCCTTTTTAAAATTTGTGTTTAAAAACAGAACCTTTTTATTTTCCATGCAGAGGGAGAAAAATACTTTGGAAAAGAGGTTGAAACTGTGGTAAATTTTTTCAGCTTCCGTATTTCATATGCTTTGAAATTAAAAACCCAAACAAACTAATGACTAGGAATTGCAGTACTACATAAAAATAAATTGATTTGCAATGTGCTGGTATTTTTTTTTCTTCTGTGAATGTGCCGTTCAGATTTTTTGCTGTTCTTTCTCATAGATCTTTTCAGAGGTTTGTCACATTATTCAAGATAATAATTTTCCCATTTCTCCACTGAGACTCCTAATGACTCTTAAGTGAAGACAGATTATTGTGAGTCAGCACTGATTTACCTGGTACTTTCATTTAAACAACCACATTTAGTATGATTATTTTGTGTCCTTCTATAAAAATGAGTGTGGAAGATGAGTTTTGATTGTCACGGTTGATTGTTAGCTAGCTACTTCAATGTACCATGACATGAGATGGCTTATTCTTAAGGGGGCTGAATTTTGAAGCAGAATTTTGTCTCTGTTTTCTCTCCTTGGAAATTGTTTTTTGCAAGTCATTTAAGAAAACAGTATTATTTTTTTTTTTTTGTTATACAATAAAAGAAGTCCCCTAGACACAGATTTGATGGTTTCTCTTTATTAAAAAAAAAAATCAAATCCCAACAACTCCACAAATTATTAGCTGGCAAGAGGTTTGCCCCTGAAAACTTGGCAGATTCAGAAGGAAAAGACAAATGCAGTGTAATCAATGGAAGAGTATTTGGTTTTCACTTAGTACTAGATATATTTATTGTTTATGCTGACAGGGAGCAAAGTCTAAATGGTATGTGGTGTAAGATACATTGAAAGCATTCTCTGCACCATTTTTTGGTTTTCAACCAAAACTACATACTTATTCTGTTGGCTTGCTCCTGTCTATTTGTTTGGTACTCCAGATTGCACTGTCCTTTCCTTGCCTTGTGATTAACTTTTCTGAATTTGCTTATTCCATTACATAGTGTGATGCTGGTCTTTCTGTGAGACTTCTGTCATGATTTTTTCATGATCATATCCTACTTTCTTACATCTATGGTAAATAGCACTGAGATGTGGCCTGTTTCATGTTCTAATGTACACATCTGTCATGGTTTAACCCCAGCCAGCAGCCAAGCCCCACACAGCCACTCACTTCCCCACCAGTGGGATCAGGAAGAGACTCAGAAGGGCAAAAGCCTGAAAACCTGTGGGTTGAAATGAAGACTGTTTAATAGGTAAAGCAAAATCCACACACATGAGCAAATTAAAACAAGGAAATTAATTGCTTCCCACAGGCAGGCAGGTGTTCAACAATTTCCAGGACAGCAGGACCCCATCATGTGCAATGGTTACTTGGGAAGACAAACACCATCACTCCAAACATCCCCCTATTCTTCCTTCTTCCCCCCACTTTATATGCTGAGCACAATGTCATCTGATCTGGAATATCCCTTTGGTTGGTTTAGGTCCCCTCTCCCAGCTGTGTCTCTTCCCAGCCTCCCATGGAAAACCAGCACAGCATCTATGACTGTATTAATTCACTGATAGAGGTTTATGTGATTGAGAGGAATGTACTCTGAGATCAGAATGAGTTTTTAGGACCTGGTAGAGTTAATGCAGTAGCCCCAGACAGGACATCCCTGACTTTGGTATGTGTTTTGTTGTTGTTGTTGTCGTTGTTTTTTCTTTTTCTTTAAATTTACCTCTGTATTGCATCCTAGAAAGTAGAACAGCGCAAGAGCAATTTTACATTTTCCCTTTATCTTGGTAACTTGAGCTTCTGCTTGAGAGGTAAGCTAATCCTGCCTTTTGTTCAGACACTATGGTAGCTCAGTGACTCTGCTTCCCTCCATAGCTGCAGTTAGCTTGAAGATGAAGCAGGCAGGATACAGTTATTATTTATGACATCTGTGCTAAGGAGAGACCTTTTCCCTAAAAGTACCAAGGAAGTATTATATTGTAGAGCTTTGGAATACATGTAAATAAAATCAGTGGCTAGCAACTTTCCTTCAGGGTATTTCCAGGTCTCAGGTTTAGTCATAGATGCTGCAGCTCATGAACACAGGAGCAATAGCATTTCTGCCTCTCATCTTTACATTCATTATTCTCAAGAGTAAAGGCAAAGCACACCACTTGATGTGCATGTTTATTCTCTTTTAATTTAGGATAGTATTAACCAGTACTCAATGTGTTTGTTGAGACAGACTGAACATTAGTTACTAAAAGGGAGTTAGAAAATAGTAGTAGTAGAAACATCTCTTCCTCAGCCCACTTTAAGATTGCTTCCCATTTTAAAATTGATTGAAAAAGGAGTCTGATGTCTGCTGGGCATTGAGAGGCACAGTTAAAATGTACAGCCTGTGTGACTCCTCTGAGAGAGCACCTGGGACACTGTGGGATTGCAGCTGGTGTTAGAGCCCTGCTTGGCAGTGTTTATCAGCGGTTACTGTCTCATCCTGAAGAAAGGTAAAAAGGTCATCAAGTCATTAAGGTGAATTTTTTGCTCCAAAAAGTTGATTTTGAATTGGTACTCCAGATCAAGTGACTTAGATGTGTAAATATTTCTGGCTCATTTCTGCTGTCAGCCTCTCATTTGTCTTTGCCCTAGTTTGATTTTTTTTTTCTTGAGCATAGTAGTGGCTGTAGTAAGAAGGGAATTTTGAACACTGTCTCATTTAGTTTTTTTCTTTCTTTTTCATTCAACTTTCCCTGATGGGATTTATTTCTGTTGGCAGTTTTTAAAATCCATGGTTTAATCTATTTCCTTTATCTCACTGGCTATATGCATAAGTGGAGTGCTTTGTTTTCCTGCACTGTCTATGGCAACACACCCCAGTGCTGTTTCATCTCTCCTCAAGAGTTGATCTTTTGCACTTTCTTTCTCTGTTTATCTAACATCCCCTGAAGATATGAAGGGAACAAGTCCTTAAGAAGGCATTTTTTTCTCTCTTTGAACACATTGTTTCTAATATCCACATTGTTTGTTTGTTTTCTATTTTTTTTCCAAATACGCATGACATTACTATTTCTCCGTGCCATGGAATTGGGGGACTTGGACAAACATTGGATTTGGAAAGAAATTCAACCTATCTACTCTTTTCTGACCTCTCACTCCTAGGGACAGACACTCAGACTGTATCAACTAGACCTCTACTTTTTAGGTAAGGTGTGAAACAACTACATAATTTCAAATGGAACATAGCAGAAATGGCAGGACAAATGCATCTTTAGCACCCTGAGATCAGCTCAGTTGCTTAGAGCATGGCACTAATAAAGCAACTGTTGCATTTTTTATCCCCATATGGGCCATTCACTTTAGACTTGGACTTGATGATGCTTGTGGGTCTCTTGCAACTCAGAATATTCCATGATTCTGTTTAAAGACCCTACTGAGAGGTAAAATGTATAAATTCTGGAATGGTAAATAAGCAGAGTGTTTGGGAGTTACAAAAAATAACATTCATCTGTCTCTTTAAAACAGAAAAAAGCCTTGGCAGTTAACTCCCGTACATATTGCCTCCAGGAACAAACAGGGAAAAAGCTAAAGAGCTGTCTGGACAGGGACACTCACAGTGGGAAAAAACTTGTGTGCCATATGTCCCCCTTCCATCTGTTTATGCTCTCTTCTGGGTCGTGACATCTGGTTCTGCTTGATATCTGGCTCTGATTCCTGTATTTTTAAAGTAAATGGGACTTAATTCTCCTCAGAGACTGAAGAGAATAGACCACATGCTGACTTTTAAAAGAAAAGCCAAGTTTTTCATAAAAATATGTTTCCTCATCCTAGAACTGAATGGCTTGATACACATATGTATTTAAATGAGCCAAAGATGTGCCAGCACCGTCTGCTGTCACTTTTTAAAAGCTGCTAACTTTGGCATGTTTGACATTTTTGCAGTATTGGACCATAAAGTTAGTTGGATACCTAAATTAGAAGATGAATTGGCTTATTATTAAGAAAAGGATCACGTCCAAGAGAGCAGACAGCTGAGGATGAGAAAACATTGGGTGGGTGTTCCAGGGTGAGGGTTGGTGAGCCACAGAAGCTGGCTGTGGGGATCCTGAAACCCCTGGAGCTGTGAGCCACACCAGCCCTGTGCTGTGCAGTGCCTCCACCTACTGATGCCTGAGACTGAACCTCTCCCCTTCCAATAAAAGCCACACTGTTTACATGAGATCATAATGAAATTCTGCTGTTAATAATGCCAAGCCACAGCATTAAAGAAAAATACAGCACACCAAGAGGGAGAAAAAAAAGAAGATACTTTGACAACTGCTGTTCTGAATTATACTGTAATCATTATTTTTTAGTGTTTTTTCTGTCCTTTGTAAGAACTAGCAGGGAATTTAGTGGAAATTGAGAGTTTTGGCCTTTGAGTCTGTGCAACTGTTAATCCAGAGCCTCATAGCTGGGATGTGGGGAGTAGTAGAGCTCTGCAGAGCTGTGTTTCTTAATCAGCCTCCAGCATATATCAATTAGATCTAATCGAGCAACTCTTGCCTTGGTTATTCCAAGAAGAAGACTATGATTTGAGATCACCTCATCTGGCATCTGCATTCAGCAGATTTGCTCTGGATAATGGCTGGAGGATCATTACTGGCCATGTGCTACCCAGGCAACTGAGAGTCCTAGAATTTACTTGACATAGTGATAGATGAGGAATTTGTACCTAATTTAATGATCTAGTCCCCTGAGCTGGGAATAAATGGATCCAATATTTACATGGTGAGAAAATCTTAGAGTCTTGGATGCTGAATTGTTTATGGGAAACCAGGCAGCAAATGGACAGTAGGCCCCTGGAGTCCATGAAGAAGAATTGCCTCAAGGCTGCCATCAGAGAAGACCAGTCAGTGCATCATGATCACCTGAAATGGAATGTCACAGCATTCTTGGGGGCAGAAAGCACTGGCTGCCTGAAATGACCAGTCCTCAGTTTCCAGTCCTTACCTTGGATAGTGTGCTCAGATCCCAAGGGACCTTGCAAATTTTTTTTCCTAGTGATATGTAGTGCTTTTCATTTTTTTTACTCCCATATTAAAAATCTATAGCCACAGAGTTTGTAAATTGAAGAGAATTTGCAAAATGGAAGTGGATCAGGAGGTTTCAAAGTCTTTCTAGAACCTTTGTCTATTAAAATATTATTATTGTTGTAGTTGTTGTTAATACTAATATCAATAATAAGTGCAGCCAAATCAAAATCCTGTCATGGTTATGGCTCAGGCAGAATATTCTGAGTTCCAGAACTAATGGTGAAGATGAGACTGCAGAAAGTGATTAAAGCAATTAGCACAAGGAGGTTGGGGCAGTGTGGTTCATAATTCATTAGTTCTCAGTAGCAGTGGATTTTGTAGTGAGCAGTCAGATGGTCATTCTTAAAGCTTTGTAGTAGTATATGCATTAAGATACATGAAGGTCCCCTGATGGCTGAGGGTCCCAGAGCAGCCCCAGACATGCTCCTTGTGTGCACATGATATCTCAAAAACGTGCACATGTACCTTTAAAAATGCAGGGCTGCCATGGCTGGATTTTTCTGTCCCAGCTATGGGAGGTCGTGAGCAGTTGCTGGTATCTTTGGATAGACTAAGATTTATGGAAGAGAAGG